CGCCGCTTTACTGTGGAAAGTTGCCAACTTTTTCCTCCGGAACCCGGGGGTCGCCCCCCCCCCTCTCCCCCGGCAAAACCCCCCCTCCCCTAACCCCCCCCCCCCTCCCGCTCGAAAACCGGGAGGGGTCACTACCGGTTCGAGCCCCCCCCCCCCCTCTCCGGATCCAGAAAACCGGGGGGGGGTCACTACCGGTTCGAACCCCCCCCCCCCCCCTTACTCGCCGCCAGCAAACGACTCCCGGTCCCCACCACCGTCCGCATCACATCCCCCACTGGTGTTCCCAGCACCACTGTCCTCACCACCGCTGTCCCCACTGGTTCCACCACCGCCCCTACTGTCCCCACCAGTGGCCCCACCACTGTCGCACTGTCCCCGCTGTCCCCAGAACTGTTCCCACCACGGTTCCACTCTCCCCACTGTCTCCACGGCCCCAACCACTGCCCGACTATCCCCACTGTCCCCACTGTCCCACTGACTCCTCCGCTGTCCCACTGAGCTGTCCCACTGTTCCCACCACTGTCCCCACTGTCCCCACCACTGTCCCCACTGTACCTCTGTCCCATTGTCCCACCGCCGTCCTCGCCACCGCCTTCACCACTGTCCCCACCACCATTGTACCCTCCACTGTCCCACTGTTTCCACCTCATTCCCATTGTCCCCACACCACTGTCCCCACCACCACCGTCACCACCACTGTCCACTGTCCCCCCCTGTTCCCACCATTGTCCCCACCACTGTCCCCACCACTACCGTCCCCACCACTGTCCCACTATCCCACTGTCCCCACCACTGTCCCGCTATCCCCTCACCACTGTCCCCACCAACACCGTCCCCACCACTGTCCGCACCCCCACTCGGTTTTCGAGGAGGGGGGGGGGGGGTTCGAACCGATCGTGACCCCCCCCGGTTTCCGAGGGGGGGGGGGGGGGAGGGGTTCGAACCGGTAGTGACCCCCCCCCCTTTTCATGATGAGCTGGGGGGGGGGGGGAGGGGTTCGAACCGGTAGTGACCCCCCCCGGTTTTCCGGAGGGGGGGGGGGGGGGGGGAGGGGTTCGAACCGGCAGTGACCCCCCCCGGTTTTCTGCCAGCAGCGGTAGAACACGCTCTTTCTCATCTCAAGGTGCAGGTCGAGCGCGTGCACAAGCTGCAGGGCGACTTCGCTCAGCTGCAAACTCTTGAGCGGGAGGCTGCCAAGCGGGCTGCCACTGCGTTCAAGGAGTTGCCGGGCGAACCTGATGCGGGCGCAGCCGACGCTGACCCTGCGGCGGCGCTTCGTGGGCAGCTTGCTCAGTTTGGCTGCAACCCAACCGTGCTCCGAAACTTTGACACGCTCATCGCCCAGCGCTCATTTCATCATGGAGAGCGTCATCAAGTTCGAGGACCTCGACGGCCAGTGGATCGACGATTCGGTTGCCAGTTCTCGTGCCTCGGGTTTCTCGGCAAGCGCTGACGCCTCCGACGCTGGCGAGGGGCACTGTGACGGAGGTCAGGATGCCAAGGCTGCTGGCGGCATCACCCGCGAAGCAGTCCAGGCGGCCTTGCAGAGCGCCCTCGACCGCGCCGAGAAGGCCAAGGCGCAGGCGAGCATTTAGCACGGCATCGAGTACCGAGTGGAGGCCCTGTCCTTTTGTGTCTCGGAAAGGGGGGGGGCTTGGCTTTTTCCTTTCGCCCCCTCTTTCCCGCTCCGACCTCGACGCTCAACAAGTGACCCATGCGCTGGATGCCGAGTCCATGGAATCTAGTCTTCGAGCCCAAGGGCGTCGTGGGCGAGTTTGCCCTGTAGTTGCCACGGGGCGCGAGGTGGAACGTCGAGAGATTTTGGCTGGACCCAAACACATCGGTCTGTCGCGTGTTCTTTGGGCCACAGATGTTATTGAGCCAGGTCGCGCTGATATTTTGCATGTCGGGGGCGTTCTTCCGGGAGGAGTCGTGGTCGCCGGCGTTCATCTGCATCGCAGCGTAGGCCGAACGGTACAACATTGGGCCATCTTCTGTAAGTTGGAAGGCGTTCTACTGTTAAGTTGGTTGCCCCTTTGATATAGCTGGTGATTTCTACGTGGAGCCCGATGTACTCGAACACTGCGGGTCGGTCGCGGCGATCGACGCGGCGGTCGTTGCCCCCAGCGATGGAACGTGCCGACCCGCAGATCGGGCTATAGCTCACTTCGTTGTCAGTCGTAAGCTCGCTCCGTATTCGTCTGCCCGCGTCAGCTACGAGGCCCCCGTGGCCCCCCGATATCCCGTCCAGATGATCACCCAGAAGCCCGCGAAGCCCGTGATGGTGCGCATGGCCAAGGTCCCCAAGAGATTCCCTCCTGTGGTTCCTGCGGGGCCTCGTCTGCCTATGGATTAGTCCCGTTGGGGGCCCACTCGTGAGGCCTTGAAGTCTGGGGGCATTGCAAACTCTTGGAAATGTGTCATCGAGGCCACGCAGGCCGATTTGACCGAGGTCCACCAGGTGGACCCCGATTTGGCCTCAGGATACCGCGGTCGCAAGCAGCCTCTTCAGTTCAAATGGTCATGGCTTGATCGGCCTATGCCGCTTGCGTTTCCCAGGATCACTGCTCCGGCCCTCTGGCGGCGCAACGTTGCGTTGGTTTTCTTTGCATTTGCACAGCCATGTGGAGCGCATGGAACTCCACCGGTTGCCCGTGCAGCACGTAAGTTGCAAAGTTTCCCGCCGGTGCAGTCTGATTACACGGCGCAGTTCTATGTCGCGATGGATCACCTGCTGCATCCTGACGCGCGTTATGGCCTTGCCCGGGTGCTTGCACGGGCGGCGAACGACCGGGCTCTGAAGCGCGCGCGAGACGCTGCCAAGCAGGCAACCATGGGCCGGGGTCAGTGGGTTCGCAAGCATTCGGTCAGAAGCTGCAGCTCTTTTCATGTGCGCCGCGTTGCCAGGCGCCTGGCAGCCGCCGCCCCTCGTGCAGCGCGCCCCCGCCAACTCCATGCAGGAGATCTCTTTTCTGCAAGCTGAGTGGGCAAAATGGCGGCGAGCCGGGGGGGCCAATTCTCCTGTTTCCTGGCGCCGGGACCTTGAAGAGCGGCCACCCCATCCCTTCTCTGGAGCACCTTGAGAAGGCGTTGCTCACGTTCCCTGAGGGGGCGGGCTCGGGCTGCGATCAGTTGCCGCCGAGACAGCTTCTCAGGCTCACCGATGAAGCCCTCGCCCTGCTTTGCCAGCTTATTCGCGCCATCGGGCACCAGGTCCAGCGGCCGCCCATGGCCGCGCGCATCGTTCTTGTCCTCAAGAGGCTTGGTGGCGTCAGGCCGCTGGGTTTGATGCTTTGCCTGCGTCGTTTCCAGGCCAAGCCGCGTCGTGAAATTCTGCGGGCGTAGTAAAAAGCTAATTGCAGGTATTTCTGGTGGGCGATCCGAGGCAAATCCGCTGAGCTCTCGGTGCGGTTGCAATCTGCTTGGGCCGATTACCGCACCCACGCTGGGCCGGACATCGCCACCTTGCTGGTTGACCTCAAAAAAGCTTTCGAGGCGTTTCGGCGCGAGCAGCTCTGGAGGGCGGCACAGAGAACATTTTTTTTTCTCTTGGCAGTTGAAACTTTTGCTCCTGGCTCACAGGTCGCCACGCGTTTTTGAAATACAAGGCTTGTGCAGCGACGAGTTTCCGGTCGATCAGACCATCCCCCCCGGCTGCCACTTCGCCACTTGCCTCCTGCAGCTCCTGCTCATCGGCCCCTTGGATGGGGCCCGACGCGAGTGTCCAGCTGCACCTACCGCTGTTTGCGTGGATGACAATAGTCTGCAGAGGAGCGGGAGTGCTGGAGGGTGGAGGATGATCTTGCGGGATAGGGCGCACTGATGAAGCAGGGGTTGCAGAAGGCCTATGTAGTCATCGCCCTCGACAGGCCTCGGGCGCTTGATTCCAGATCTGCTGGGCGACTTCGGACCATGGCACTTCTTATCACGCCTGGCCCTGTATGGACCCCATATGTAGAGCCGCTCTAGAGCCCGTGACGTCCTTCATGCACGTCTTTCGCCGTGAGCCCACGCCCCTGCGTGCTCTTGAGGAGGGGGTTGTCGTTGCTGCTGCTCGCCTGGGCCCCCGCAGTTCCCCCTGGCAAGCCAGCAATGAGCCTTGCTCTGCGTTGTGGGCCTCTCTTCGCAGGGCCAGCGTGGATTGCGCCAACGTCAGAGCCTGGGCCTTTCCGCGCGGGCAGGCTGTGAATCCTCTGGGGTTGTGTCCCAGGTCGGTCGAGTTTCTCGTCGAGAGGGCGGTCTTTGCCTGGCAGATGCAAAGGATTGCTCATTTGATTTTTTGAATTTCTTGAAGGCATCTGAATTGAACCCTTGCGCGCGCTGCGTCGTTCCAGGATGCTTTCGGCCTCTGCAGTGGCCTACTTTCGGTCCGCGGCGACCGGGGGCCAATAGCCTCAAGCGAGACAGCGCGCGCAGGGTTGGTTCCAGTCACCTGAGTGCCTCCTCTGTCAAGAGGGCGATGGAACGCTGGTGCACAGGCGCGCCCGCTGGGAGCTCACCCAGTCCATGGTCGCGCCAGTGCCCGAACGCGCCACCATTTTGGCCTCGCAGGTTTTCACCAACAAGCATGCGGAGATCCTCATTGAGCGCGCTGTCCCAAGCCTCGGGTTCCACCAGACCTCCTCCAGTGGCCCACTCAACCCTACTTTCGATGGGAAGGTAACCCTCGGGGCCTCACTGGGGGCGTCTTCCTGGGCGGGTCGCTCTACGAGGATCTGCCCGCGTATCCTGTGGCTGGCTTTGCTTGTATCCATTTATGCGACGGTGCAGAAGTTGTGCGCGCCTCCCTTACAGGCGTTCTGGCAGGCCCACATCAGGACATCGATGGCGCAGAACTCGCTGCTCCATATGCTGTGATATTGCACGCAGTTCCGCCGCTAGTCGCGCACTCGGAATCAGCGTTCGTAGTCCAGGGTGCCAACTATGGGGGAAGGGTGCGTGCTACCTCGCCCGGTTATTTTTGGGTTCACATTTGGAGGCGTATTTGGACTAAGCCCGAGGACTGGGAAGAAGGAGTTCAAGCGCGCAAGGTCAAGTCACATGTCAGGCATGCTCAGATCCTCGAGGGCCTGCAGTCAGCCATGCTCTCGCACGGCAGCAAGTGCGCGGATGAGGAGGCGAAGGCGCGTGCCTACGAGCGTCGACCATCGCTGCAGTTTCAGCGCCTGGCCATCCAGCAGCAGAAGTTTGCGCGTGGGCCCGGTGTCTGGGCCGCCCAAGTTGGCGCCGCCATGTCCGAGACCGATTGCCAGCATCGGGTTAAGCGACCGAGAGCTGACGCCCCCCGCTCAATTCAGTTGGTCAAGCCCCCCCCCTCGCTTGAAGAAAGGACTGTCCAGTCACAGGCTGCTCTTCTTGCGCGAGGGGAAAAGTGCCACCAGCTTTTTAGTTTTCAGGTCCCTTTCGGCCCAGACGATCCTTTGTCTGTTGTGGCCGACGTGGTGCTTTTGTCATTCAGAGGCTGGCTTAGCTTGCTCTCCCGCGTCCCACTTGCGTTCCCCAATGGGCCCGTACGGTAGCAACTCGGCCTTCTGAAAGTGAATTCGAGATTGACCGTGTAATTCATTTTGTGCAGAATTTGCGGCGTCTGACGCCACCGTCAGTTCCCGTTTCTGCCCAAATTGTGGTGCCTCCGCCACTGCTGCAGGCCGCGCGTTCGTCCACCCAAGGCAGCCGTGCCCATTTTCGAGGGGAGGTGGATCGCGGGCCTGGTCGGGGGGTGGAGTCTTCAGAGGGCTCAGGCCCTTGTGTCGTGTCCTATATCATTATTCTCGCTTTGCGAGATCGTCCGAGGTACGTGGCAGAAGGCGGTTGCAAGGTGCGCCTTCTGCCACTTAGTCCTCCCTTGCCAGACTTCGTCGCCGCCTCCCCAGCCGTGCCCAGGAGGAGGAGGAGGAGGAGAAGGAGGAGGAGGGGGAAAAGGAGGAGTAGGAGGACCTCCTCATCATCCCTTCTCCCCCGTCATGCATGTGGGGTTGGTGGTGGAACATTCCCCCCTCGAAGCAGGCGGGCCTTAGTGGGCGGGTCAGGCGGCCTCGGGGCGCCCGGGGGCCACGCGCGGTGCCGCCTCTCCGGCGCCGGCGCACCCACGGAACCCTGCGGACCGCGCACCCTCGTGTGGTGTGGTGCGCATCGCGGCCAGGTCCACCCCACCACTACCACATGTAGGACGGGGGAGAAGGGAGGATCAGGAGATCCTCCTCCTCCTCCTCCTCCTCCTCCTCCTCCTCCACCTTCTCCCTCTCTTATCTATGGTAGTGGTGGTGGAAAATTGGCCCATTACTCTGGTGGTTCGCCCGCAGCGCGGCCAGATCCGCCGCAGCCAGCATGCGTTGAACCACCATCCGCGCGCTCAGCTGCTCTCGCGTCGCCCGCAGCTCGCGGGGCGGGAGTCGGGCGCGCGCGGCGTCTCCGTGCGAGCTCGTCGGCGGCCGAGTCGCCCACGTGGTCCTCCGCAGCCGTGCCTCGTGCAGCCGGTTCCCAGGGTCACAATGTTTTGTAGCCTACGCCCTGCTCTCGCTCCCGAGGTCACTTCCCCGAAGCCGCAGTCCCTGACACCTTCCGCCGCAGCCGCCGCCGTCGTGGTCGTCGTCGTCGTCGTCGTCGTCGTCGTCGTCGTCGTCGTTGTGGTCGTCGTCGCCGTCGTCGCTGTCGTCGTTAAAACAAATCCTTATTGTTGGACACCCTGAATGCTCTTTCGCGCTCTCGCGCCTGCTCCGCGCGACCTCGCTCTCGCTCGTGTCCTGTGGCGTGTCGTCGTCGCCGCCGTCGTCGTCGTCATCGGCGTCGTCATGCTCTGGAGGCCATCGGGGGCCTCCAGGAATTCCTGGAGACTCCCAGGGCCAGGGACATTATTTGGAGGAGTACAGGGGGGAGGAGGAGGTGGAGGAGGAGGAGGAGCAGGAGGAGCAGGAGGAGCAGGAGGACGACGACGACGACGACGACGACGACGACGACGACGAGCCCGGGCGCCATCCGAAAGCGGCCGACGCCAAAGCGGCCCCCAGGATTGGGTCGAAAGCCTAGGGGCCTAGCTTTGAAACTTCTCTCAGAGGTTCAGGGCGCTTTCCACGGAGCTCCCCCGGAGGTTGTAAACCTTCCCTGAGGTCTTAGGCCGCTCAGGCGTCGTGATACTTAGGGGTTGCGGAGGCGATGTGCTGTCAGGGCTGGAGATGTTGAAGTGCCTCGGAAAAAGGTGTTGTCCACGCGTCCTCGTTGGGTCCTCGCTTGGAAGAAACAGCGCCCCGCGTCTCCTTCCTTCCTCTTCCCCTCTCCCCCTCATCTCGTTCCTCCTCCCCCTCCTCCCTCCTCCTGCCCACCGCACTCATTTCGGCACACCCTTCACACGTTTCGTGGCCCGATAGGCAGCTCCAAGGGAGGCCCCAGTCGGTGTGTTCGCATTTTGCACACCGCACCCATTTCGGCACACCCCTCACACGTTTCGCTGCCCACCGCACCCGTTTCGGCACACCCATCACACGTTCCGTGGCCCGATAGGCAGCTCCACCGGAGGCCCCAGTCGGTGCGTTCGCACGCGCCCGCCGCACCCATTTCGGCACACCTTTCCCACGCTTGGTGACCCTATAGGCAACCCCACCGAAGGCTGCAGTGGCTGCGTTCGCATGCGCCCGCCGCACCCATTTCGGCACACCCATCCCACGCTTCGTGGCTCCATAGGGAGCGCCACCGACAGCCCCAGTGGGTGCGCTAGCAGCGCCCACCGCACTACTTTGGAACACCCTCACACGTTTCGCTGCCCCATAGGGATTTCCTCCGACGGCACCAATGGCTGCGTTCGCATGCGCCCACCTCACCCATTGCGGTACACCCCTCAAGCGTTTCCTCGTGGCCCTATAGGCAGCTCCACCGGAGGCCCCAGTCGGTGCGTTTGCACGCGCACACCGCACCTACATCGGCACACCCATCACACGCTTCGTGGCTCCATAGGCAGCTCCACCGAAGACCCTAGCAGGTGCGTTCGCATGCGCCGCCCACCGCACCCATGTCGGCACACCCATCGGACGCTTCGTGGCCCCATAGGCAGCTGCACCGAAGGCTGCAGTGGCTGCGTTCGCATGCGCCCGCCGCACCCATTGTGGCACACATTTCATATTTGTCGTGGCCCCACCAGGAGCTCCACCAAAGGCGCCAGTGGCTGCGCTCGCACGCGCTCTCCGCACCCATTTTGGCACACCCATCATGCGCTTTGCGGCCCCATAGGGAGCTCCACCGACGTTTGCATGCGCCCACCGCACGTATTTCGGCACACCCCTCGAACGCTTCGTGGCCCCACGGGAACTTCACCGGAGGCCCCAGTCGTTTCGTTCGCACGCGCACACTACAGTCATTTGTGGCAGTCCCCGCACGCTTTTCGTGGCCCATATGGAGCTCCACCGACGGCCCGAATGGGTGCGTTCGCGTGCGCGCACCGCACCCATGTTGGCACACCCCGCACACGCTTCGCAGCCCCACCGGGAGCTCCACCAAAGGCGCCAGTGGCTGCGCTCGCACGCGCCCACCGCACCCATTTTGGCACACCCATCATACGCTTCGTGGCCCCATGGGGAGCTCCACCGGCCGCCCCAGTGTCTGCGTTTGCATGCGCCCACCGCCCACCGCACTCCTTTTGGCAGTTTCGTGGCCCCATCGGAAGCTCCACCGACGGCCCCAGTGGCTGCGTTTGCACGCGCCCGCCGCACAAATTTCGGCACGCTCCTCGCACGCTTCACGGCCCCCTAGGGAGCTCCACCGACAGCCCCAGCGGTTGCGTTCGCATGCGCCCACCGCGCTCATTTCGGCACACCCCTCATACGTTTCGCCCGCCGCTGGGAATTTCACCGCCGGCCCCACTGGCTGCTCTGCCCGCGCCCACCGCGCAAATCTCGACACCCCACATACGTTTCGTGGCCCCATCGGGAGCTCCATCGACGGCCCCAGTGGCTGCGTTCGCACGCGCCCGCCGCACCGATTTTGGCACACCTCTCACACCTTTCGCGGTTCCATAGGCAGCTCCACCGACGGCCCCAGTGGTTGCGTTCGCGTGCGCCCACCGCACCCATATCCGCACACCCGTCACGCGCTCCGCGGCCCAATAGGGAGCTCCACCGGCAGCCCCAGTGGCTGCGTTCGCATGCGCCAACCGCACCTATTTCGGCACACCCTTCAAACGTTTCGTGGCCCCACAGGGAATTCCACCGGCGGCCCCACTGGCTGCTTTCGCATGCGCCCACCGCACAAATTTTGGCACACCCCTCACACGCTTCGTGGCACCATATGGAGCTCCTTCGAGTGCGGTGTATACAAAGACGGTATTCACAACTGCATATGGTTGGGTCTTTCGCCAGGCTAATTGTTTGAATCCGTGGGGGCACGGACGCCGTTTGGCGCTCAGTATTGTCGATGAGAAAGCGCAGGTGCAAGCCATCGGCGAGGCACTGCAAGTGACAGACACATAACCAGCCAGTGGGGCAGAAAACTTTGAAAGACACGGCGCAGCACAACACAGCCTCGTTTTCAGCCTGCCGCCGGCAGCATTGGAATCAGATTTGAAGCGAAGCGGGGTTCGTGCTCCCATGCTTTATCAATCGCCACGGCGATTTGCTATACAGTGGGGCCTCAGTGTAGAATGAGCCATGCCAATGGGCGCAGAGCTGGGGGGGCGGGGGGTGGGGGACGAACCGCGTCGACTTGACATTCGGGTCGTCCTCCACTGGGCAGTGGAGTGGCCGGACAGGGTGGGATTGGTAGTGCGTTTGGAGCGTCCAGTTGGCAATATTGCCCCAGCCTCATCATGGTCTTCGGGGGACCCGGTCGGGGGAGGCGATGTTGAGCTCCGTAGCCCCGTGACAACGTGTCCCAATTGTTGAGCCGGCAATCGGGGAGCCTGGCGGAATCGAATCCCGAGTGGCCATTTGACATTGGGCCCCGATTGTCGATTAGGCAGTCGGGGGATCCAGCTTGGGGATAGGGTTCAGCCCCGACTGCCCCTGACCCAATTGCAAAATCGGCAATCGGGGGGACTGGCAAGGGCGGCAGAATGGCCAGGGGCGGCGGAATGGAGCCCCGATTGATCATGTCACAATCGGGGCATTATCGTCAAGTGGGCAATCGGGGGATGAGACATCCGACTTGCCAAATGGATACTCATCTACCAATATGACATCTGAGACTTGAACATGTTCTCGCCAGTCTTTCCAATTTGACAATTGGGGCCTTTTGCCACATCGGCAAAGTTAGCTGCCCACTTTTTTGCAGCGGGCTCTGGCCCTGTGTGCCGGATTGTTAATGGGGGGAACGGTCTCACGCACCAGTCACCACAAGTGGTCGGCGGATTCTATCGTGTTTTGCGTTGGTTTGCATTGTGATGGTTCCCGTTGCAGTCCCATGCGGTGAAGCGAAGTTGCGTAGAATTGGTTGATGCTGCGATGCATTGACGTATTAAGTAACGCATTTCCACGACACCTTGCATCGGCATCGCGTTGCAGAGTACAATGTTTGCAACGCAAGGCAGAACAAGGCAGAGCACAGCAGAGCTCATCAGACCACGCCGAGCAATGCGATGCAACGCTCTACACTTGAACTTGCACTGCAATACGATGTGCTGCAGAACAGCAGATCCAAGCACAACAAGCCCGTTAAAACCCTTACAGAGCAAAGAAGCCAAGGCGTCGCCATAACATTTTTCAGGTGGTTTATTTCGGTATTTTGCCGCAGCTCG